TTCATTTTTATATGTACTACGAAACTATTAAGTCATGCACTTATTCCTATAAAATGACAGTTGAAAACAATTTAATTGGTTCCAAACAAAATTTTACATCTTCTTTTCAGCTTTTACTCACCAAGCACTACAGCACTTAAAGGGAAAATTCTAAGGGGATATAGTTCAAGTTCAATCACTTGCTAACTGTGTAACCTTGGGAGAATAATTTAACATCTCTCAGACTCTTTCCTCACCTCATTATTTAATGAGGTAATAATGTAAGTGCAAGAGCTATTTTAAAACTATGAAATTGCATTATCTCTGCCTGGTAACTAATTTTTAATACTCTGATTGCTAGAATAAAAACCACACTGAAAATCTACAATTATCCATGACTGTTTCTCAGTACAGTGAGAGATTACTTTCCTCATAATTATAAATATCTTACATTTTTTGTTTACATTTACTGTGTACCTAGAAACCAAAAGGTATTCTTGAAATCTGCAGGTACTTTCTTTTAAGAGATGAGGGCTCACTCTGTCACCCAGATGGAGCGCAGTGGCACAAGCACAGATCATTGCAACCTCCAACTCCCAGGCTCAAGTGGCCTTTCTGGCTCAACCTCCCAAGCAGCTAGGACTACAGGCACACACTACCACAACGGCCTAATTTTTGAATTTTTGTGTATAGACAAAGTCTAACTGTAGTGCCCAGGCTGAACTCCTGGCCTCACAATGGTAAATTCTTTAAATGTCTTTGCACAATTATTAATTTAAAACAACTCAAAAATTACACAGCTAATCCAAACTATATGAGTTTTTAGCCTTTCTGGTGATGATATCAAAATCAAAACTAAATCAAACATCATATATAAAGGTACAAGAATAATTTCCCAACATGTTTAACTAGAAAGAGATGGGCACAAAACTGATCATTGTAGGCATTAACACTATTTCTAAATTCAACTTCTTGAAAAATAAATCACTTTATAATTTAATTAGGTTTTCACCTAAAGAAAAAGGTAATAACACAAGCTCAGATAAAAGAAAGTAGACTTAGACAACTGGTTTAAAAAGATTTTGCGTAATCGTAGGGCTTAATTTTTTATCTGCAGTTCAGCTCAAAGTCATCAGAATGACTTTTATATCAAAGAGCTTCGGTGAGTGACAAGAGCAAGGCTTGCTTTGTCCTGTTTAAAAGTCATCATTCCATGAAATAACTTTAGCCTGCCAAGATGAGAAAGAATAACAGATGCTGTTTTTGCATTATCTGCATTATTTCGGCCAGCCATCCTTAGACATTTGGGTCAGATTTCTAGAAATTTGTTACTTGCATTTGACAGAGGAATCATGTATCTTAACCTCTCAGCCTGACCTTTCTAATTGGCATCCATTTGTAATACACCACTTTCTGTGGCAATTATCCCTGGTCCAAGTTTAGTCTATTTTTGTGCATTCACTAGGGAATAAATCAGATCATTTTCAACCAAGATTCAAAAGATTTTTCACCCAAAGCCAACCAATAAGAGAAAATTTCTTTACATACATTATGTTTTATTGTGGTGGTTAGATTTTTCAAGATGTTTCAATCTTTTACAAATTTAAAATGGACAGGGGAAAAGTTGTTCTGTTCTGATGTGTTTACTCATTGTTTTCTGCCTTGTATAATAGATTTTTGAAAATTAAATATTTTAATAAAATAAGTTGTCCTACTTTTTCACGGTAATGAGGAATTTTGTCCTTTAAAATACATAAGTGAAAGCATTCAAAGCTCAGTTCCTCTTATGAGTACTGTATTATAGCTTATTAGAATATAGAAACCAGCTCAGAAAATGAAATAGGTACATCATTTTATAGTTTTTAAAATTGGTAATTAAAGACTTTCACAAAGTTTTCCATCCATCTTAATAGACCGATATTTTAATAATTTACTATGTTTATAGTATCCTCTGAGTGTTACCATGTAAGAACAGGCAATATTTACAAAGCATTTACAATGTACTGAATATGATTCTAAACACTTTCTATGTGTTATATCACTTAATACTCAAAAAATTATAGAAATTGCTCAAACTATACCGCCTCTTACAAAAGGTTTTAACAAATCATTTTGTTAAAGTTGTCAAAGAAAGGAAAATTGTAACAGTCTGAGCTATCCAACCAAGTAGAATCCTCACTGAAGTCTGTAGAGGTTTATAAAATAAAAGTCATAAATAAGAAGTTTCCATCGCCTGTACCCAATGGAAACTTCCTGCATAATTTGAAAAGTGGAAAGGTGATATTTCAATCATTTATCTAATGAGAACTAAAAGGAATAAGGATCAAAGAACTAATGTTAAAGAATAATTACTTTTTTAAATGACAAAGTGTGAAGAAACTTAGCACACCCCAGAAAAGGCATAAATCACTCTTAAGTGCTGTCTAAACATACTTGTACAAAAGAATCTATAAGAGGGGAAACTAAGCTAGATGTCTCTTATTATCTTAAAATGTTTTAATATTTCCCAGATACTGGGCATTTTCATAACAAAGATAAAATATAAGTAACTTATCAATTGATTACAAAATGTGTAAGAAGTCTAAGGAAAATTTTAAAAGTACAAAATTAGTCTTCATAGTATAACAAAGCCATTTTTTTTTTTTTTGCAGTATTTGGCCAGGGCTGGGTTTGAACCCATCACCTCTGGCATATGGGGCCGGCGCCCGACCCCTTTGAGCCACAGGTGCCGTCCAACAAAGCCATTTTTTGATGTGACAAAATACAAGATAAGACTTTTTCAAATTTATCAAATTTCTCTGAGAAGGTCAGAATTTTCTAATTACTGGTTTCTTCCCTCCTTAAATGTTAATGTGAAAATATGTTAACATTATTACTGAAGTCCAATTTTTGACACCATGGGTAGCTTGTAAAATTTAGTTAGAACCTCATCTACTAAATATCCACATGATCACCATAAACGTGTAAATTTAAAATGTTATATATCATTGGCCTCATACTTCATATTTGGGCTACTTCTAAGAAATACATGATGGAGGCCACTTTAAGGGTGCTGTTTCCAAATAAACTTACCCTTAAAACTTTTTAGAGACTCTATAATATCTTTCCAAGCAAACAAAATACTTAAATGAAACAGAAAATTCTCTTGGTTACATATACATATAACTTCATACAAAAAATTTACTTTGGGGGCATGTTGTCTATTTCATCTACCAATTTGGAAAATAATTTTGTTTTACAAATGTCAAATCTCCATAACACCTTCAACAAATATAAAGTAGTTCTACTTACACTTGCATGGAGTTTTCCTTTTTTTGACATCGCTAAAAATTTGTTGCTGAAAACTCCTCGTATTCCTACAATCCCCTGAGACACAGCAAATATTTCCAAAATACCTAGGATGACAGAAATCCCAAAATAAAACACAGACTCTTCTATATATCATTGTGAAGAAGTAAATTCCTACATAGATTCTTTCCATCCTTTATTACTATGATTTTAAACATAACTTAGTAGTAACATCCTTTTTTCAGTGATATTCACTATGCCAAAAGGCGGCTGGCGTTCAAGTGTTTATTTAAAATTGTTATTCTTAGACTCAAAAATTTGACTCTGCTTCAACAATTTTTCTTTGTTGACAAATGACAAGTTGTTTTTAATAAATGACGTTGGACAAGAGAATCTTTCCAAGTTCTAAAGCAATTAAAAAGATTTTTTTCTGAATTTTTGCAAAATAATTCTCATCCATTGTTTCTCTGCATGAGCTAGTACACTACCTTTAATACAAAAGCACAAAAAATCTGTACTCAAGACTAGAATAAACTATTTGAAAGCTCAGAAAATAATACCTATTTACATAAAGTAAATCCCTCTTCTCTAATCATAATGATTCTAGTAGTAGTTACAAATAAATACATACCCTATTCAATTTCTTAGCAAGTAGCTCATCTAAAGACCACATATAATAAGAAGCTGAAAGCCCTGGAAATAACGTGAGATTATTGATTCAATGAAGTGTTTAGTGGATTATGCTTTGGGACATCTCACATGTTTTGAATTATTTCCTGAAACAAAATGTAATGAGGTATTTATTTTATTATGGTTTATATTTTGTATTTCATAGTTAGCAAGTCAATGTCCCTCTTTCTCCTGCAGTAATACAAAATCCACCTCCACTAGGTCAAGAGAATCACAGTTCATAGAGGATTGTAAATTCACACCCTGTGTATAACTGGAAAGCCTGCTTGTTTATCATAAATTCATATACACTGTCGTATGAACATGAGAGAAGCATGTTTTTGTTAGTTGATTACACAAAATTGCAAAGCAGAAGCAGAATCATGTAGTCCACTCCAGCTATCTAGGAAGGAATAAAAGAAGGAAGAAACGAAAGAAGGAGAGAAGGGAGGGAGGAAAAGGAACAGTTCAACATTTAAATCTATAATATTCCGAGCATCTATACCACTTCAGGTATCTCAGTAGGACTCTGCTGAATAAAGAAATTCACCAGATTTTCTTAAAACAGCAATCTCTCTCTGAAGTATTTGAAGTACATATAATATTATTCAATTCACCAAAAAGAAATATTTTATAAATAAGTACACATGAGCAACTTTATTGAGTATTTCCATTGCTTAATGTGAGCTAACATCTGTGATTGCAGTAAATCGTGCTATGTATTTAACTTGGTTTCTTAAAAATACTTGATCAAAAAGTTCATAGGGGAAAGAAGATGAATGAATAACACTTTAAAAAGTACTGGAAATAGTCTTAATCCTAGAATTAAAAAAAAAAAACATATTTCTGGTAAACTTCAGCTAACAATTAATTAATTAAAAAACAAAATCCCAAAATTAAAAACAGAAAGAAAATACTTTTTCTTTTAGAAGAAAGTTGCTAAAGAGGCTGGTGTCTCATAAATCCTTTCATTCGAAATGTTTTCAAAATGCTGTTTGATGTTGATAATTTTTATTATAAAAAATTATTTGAATATGATACACACCCAAAGGTTTAAAAGCATTATTAGTTTATCAAATAGTATCACAGCATTGTGAATGCTTTGTAAAGTTAAATACACTACACAGGTATAATAGGTTATAATATTATTACTAATGCAAGACTATGACATCTGATACGAAGTTATATTTCCATCAGAATTCCATAGTATGGAGAATAGCATTAATGCTTTTAAATATTTGGGAGATGGGAACATGATGGTGAAAACACTGTTAACATGTATGTACAAAAACATAAAAAAGAGAGCAGGAGAAATTGTCCATTTGTGGAATGATGGATACATAAAGGTGATACAGAGTTGGTTGGAGAGGAGACTTGGTTGTCTTCAAGGCTTTCCCCCAATTTACTCAAGTTCCACATTGTTAGAGGTATTTTATTCCATTCTCTGGAAAATTATCTGGCTTTATAAAGGCAAGTCTACTGTATATTAATGAAAAAATACATACATGGTAGTAAGTATAAGATTCTCATAAGTATATGTTTTTGCATACTAACTTTTAAGATATTAAAATGAAAGGGCTTTATAAATATCTATTTAATATATGTTTCTTGCTTTGCCTAAGAAAACTTAGTTTCTGACCACTAACATATCCTATTTTTTAAGAAAGATCCACTTGGATTCCTTTAACTTCGATCTCAACACACTGCACACTCTGTATATGTTCTGCACAATTTGCATTGCAATTAATTTTTTAAAAGATGAAATAACATATGTGAGAATGTCATTATTTTATTACATATTGCATCGTTTCCTTTCTTATAAGTTCCGGGATAAAAATGATACATTGTCTGAGAACAAAAGGATTTTGTAACTTTAAAAGCTTAAAAGATACATTATCTATAATCTCAATGCATTTAATATGAGTAAGAGAGCAGGAGAAAGAAAAGGTGAAATTAGATGAAAGAAACAGAATTTGGGTACTGATCTTCTAAATCTTAATGCAATGACAGCCTAATATTGGGAACACTGTTAAGGTTATAATTTCTGAAGTAAGGTCAGCAGTGATGTCACAGGGTCTTGTCTTCTAGATTGTTAGAGCACAAGCCTCACAATTCAACTTCCTGCCCTCCTCCAAGGGCCCACAAGCCTATTGATTTTACTATCATAAATCTCAACAATTCATTCTGAATTCTACAGAATATTTTAAACCCATGCACATTAAATCATGCATATAATCCCAAAAAACCTTTCTCTAACATAGATTTTATTTTTTATTCCAGTCATTTCCTGACCTTTTTTCATTAGCAGTCAGTGATATTAAGTTTGATAAAAACTTACAGTTCACTTTATGGATGCCAAGAGAGTATCCCTAAGCAAAATTGTGGAAGGCTACATTTGTCTCACAGATCATAGATACTTCGTGATCATTTGCTACTGTTACTCTCCCCACCTCTCTTTCCTCTCCTCAGGACCCTCCAAGAGTGCACAGGTATGAGCCTGAGTTTTAGCACACTTCTGCTCCTGTGGTCCTCTCCTGCTTGAGGGGGAAAGGGAGATGGCTCCGTGTAAATTAATTCACATTAATATGCTAATGACAGTGTGTTATTTTTCTTTAAAATGTTCACATTTAAGAAGAACAAAAGAAGAAGGCAATGCTTAACAGAAGAAATTATTCTCTCTTGGTAGAATTTCAGGGTTGACATTTAGGTTAAAGGAAGCAAATGTTTCTTGGTGCCTCTTAGATTATATATTCACTATTTAATCCACTTACTAGGAGGCTAGTTATGCATTAAGACATAAATTTACTTTATTAGGAAAACATATGTGTAGTTTTTTGACTCAGTTCTCTACAGATTTTTTAACAGGATTTCATTGATGGCAGTTGATAAAATTATATTAATTTATCCCTTTCCCCTCTTAGTGAATAAAATAGAGAAAAAACACAGATACTCCATGTAGTCAGGAGCTTTCAACAACCCATTTTAAAATTATCGAAAAAAATATTTTAAAAGTGGAGTTTCTCTCCTAGCATCCATACCATAACAAATATGCTGTGCCAATTTATCAAATCAGAATCCTGAAATATCTAGTTTAACAGTCTTCACTGATTAAATTAGTCACAATTTTTTTTTTCTTACATTTGACTTTTTTTCTACACAGTAGATATAAATTCTGGTTTATCTAGGCTTGGGGGACTAATGGTCCAATGTGATGCCAAAATTGGTAGTAAATTCAGTTTTTTAAAAAAGCTGTAGTATTGGGGGCAGTACCTGTGGCTCAAAGGAGTAGGGCGCAGGCCCCATATACCAGAGGTGGTGGGTTCTAACCCAGCCCTGGCCAAAAACTGCAAAAAAAAAAAAAAAAAAAAAAATTAAAAAAGCTGTAGTATTGATAGTCCTATTAGCCAAAATATGTGATTGAAATTTTCATATTTTATGTGAAGCATTTGATTTTCTGTAGCTATAGTCTTATGCTTTTCCTCCCTAAATTGACAATTACCTGATTGCTTATGCTTCAATGGCCCAATAGAAGTCAACAAATAGAAGTATTATATTGAAACTGAACTTGAAAGCATATAAATCAATGCAAACCCTCTGTTTCTAGACAATTATTGTTTCTTATCTGTCTTATATAATTCATCTTTCGTAATCTTCCAATATTTTTTTCATAATAAGGGCTTAGTAATGAGCTTGATTCCACTTTCTGTCTTTAAAACTTGGAATAACTATTACATAGAAGAAGCTAAGATTATATTAACTGATGCATCTAACCTAAACAAATTATTGGGAACCAAAATCTGGTCAGAGTATAACTGAAACGAGAAAATCTTCACAATTAAGTAATTGTAAAACACATATATTCATCCATTCTCTCAGATAACTATTACAGATTATTGAGCATTAAAGCACCTGTTGGAATGTGGCCTCACGGTAGAGCTTTGGCTCTGCCTTGAAGTCGCTGGCTTCTCCCAGGAAGACTGTTCTCTCACTGTTGACTTACAGACAACAGAAATAGAGGAGGAGGTAGAACTGATATGTCTTCTATGGTCTTTGATCCATCTCTCTCAGCCTCTCTTGTTAGAAAAATGTTTCCTCACATGCTCTAAGCAACAGTCCAGAGCTAACACTTTCATTGACATGAGTGTCAGGGAAATGTCAAGTGCTGCCTTCAAAGAGGTAAATGACCAACTGCAATCAGCAGGCTTCTGTTTCTCTCTCATGGCTATGGAAGAGCAGAGACCCATTTCAAATTTCCTAATTGTACTCTAGCCTACTAAACACAAGACATACTATAAATTCTTTACGGATCAATGGTACCAAAATTGTATGCAGTCTTGGACACTCCGAATATCACAAAGCAGATAACTACTGTGATTTGGAATATTTAAATTACACCTTCCTCTGTAGAAAAAAAAAATCTATGAAAGGTTAAACAAACAAATAAAACTAACATACAAGTAACCAAAATAGCATGCTTAGTGAGGTGGCAATCCTGTATTGGGGGCATGAGTGAACGCCAAGGAGGTGAAGGAACACAAATCATGAGACAGACGTACAGACTCAACTTTAGAAGGCTGTCGGAAAAAGGAATGAATCAGGAAAAAGTTAAGTTGCCTTTAGGTGCTACTGAGGAACTATCTGGGTTCTCTTACAGATATCTTTCAGCATGGATGTGAAAATAAAATACGTTTTGGAAATAATGGATAGCAGTCAATGTCTTCTTCAGTTGTGTGCATTTAAAAAAAAAAGAATCTGTTCTCAGTTTCCAACCTTTGCTTTTCTGCAACTTCGAATCTAGCAAGGCCTAAGCTGCAAAAATATTTGTTTCTTGCAGTGTCCTTGAAGAGAAAGGGAGTAAATATTTGAGAATGACCCTTCCTTTCAGAGATCTGTAGCACACCAACACCCACCCCAGACACATTCTCTTAGCCCCCTGGGCTGCACCCTGCTGCCTGTTAATTTGGGGTCTTTCCTGGGGCACACAGAAGTTATCTTCTGTTGGTACTGATTTCCTGGCTGAACTACAGGAACAGGACAGGGAAGGTCTTCTTGTAAGAGAAAGAAGGAAAGATTGCTGGGGGTGGGGAATAAGCTCTGATGCTTGATGGAGAAAATGAGAAGGTCAAGTGGAAAAACTGAAATAAGACACAACGCCTGCTACTCTGGAAAGCTTAGAAAATTCCCTGTCACCCCAACAGACCTGCCCTTTATCACAAAAAGGTGGGCAGTTATCTGATAAGAGTGAATAAACTTTAAAACATGGAAATAGGCTCCTCTAAGGAGAGTGTGAGAGGCCGTGGGAGTCACTGGAGTGGGGAAAGGGGGGTCTCTCTTCTGCTGGGTAATCCCGGCCACCTCACCAGCGTGCTGGAACCCAGTAGCCAGAAAGACTAGACGGGCACCAGCGGCAGGCACGGACCTGCTCTTCTCCCAGCAGGAATCACCAGTTTCTCCACAGTAGGCCCCCTCAAGACCTGGGGTAAGGTTTGCCAGCAGACCACCTCCCCAACGCGCGCACCTCCAACCATGTACCAGAGACGGCTGACAGATTGTCAGCCCCCAAGTGGCCTTAAGCTCCTTTGGAGCCTGTGCAGGAAGGAGCCCAGGGGACCCTGGAGACGCTGGTCTCCAACGGACTTACTCCAAGCCAACTAATTTACAACTGGGAGTCCCTGGCTCACACTGAGGACAAAGTGACTGTGCGTAGCGCTATTCCCTGGTCAGGCTTCCGCTCTCCCTGGGCGTCTCAGAGGCCCAGGCTGTGGTTGAATCCAGTGGATCAACCTCCAGTGAAACAGCGAGCTGGCTGTGGTGAGGAAAAGCCCCGCAGAAGTCGCCTCAGTCCTGCACACAGCCCCAGATCAGCTTTGCCCCCACCTGCCTAGAGGCAGCGAGGAGAACCAGAGGAGCAGCGGTGACGATCTGGAGAAGTGGATGGAAGTGAAGAGAGAGAAGGTGGGAGAGGAGACGACGCAGAGAGAGCTAAAGAGAAAACTCGGAGAGAAAATTTAAAACTTGTTTGTTTTTTTTAAAGGTCCTCCAAAATTTGCACACATACTGAATTAAACCTTCTCTCTGTTTTTTCTAAAATAAAGGACTTTCCGGTAATTGTGCTCGGACACCCCAGGCTGGCCACTATTCTCATCAAGTGCTGTCATGGTCTCAACAGACTAACTTGCTAAAGCTCGCTGGTTAAGGATTTCAATGTTCATCACGTCTCCCTCGCTAAACGTGTCCGGTGTTCCAGATCACACTCTTCTTCCGAGCAGGAATGACTGGTCTCTCTTCCAATCCACACACACATGCCACAGGCATATGATATATGAATAGGTACACACGCAAGTGCATGGCGTACATATATGGGCACATATACATATGCAATATTAATTCAACGTTTATGGAAGTAGTTGCAGGGGAAAGTATTGGAAATTTGATTCTAATAAGAAAACAGCTTCAATTATGGACAAGGAGAGGGCTTGCACTTTGATGCCTAACAAAAAAATGCCAGCCTGGTTCTTACGGAGAAGGTAAACAGCAATTGGACCAGGAGAAGGAAGATTTTTGTTTTTCTCTGAGCATTGCTGGAAGCTCGTCTTTGGGGCTAAGACAAAGTGGAAACAGGGTGCTAATCTGGGCGCCAGCCTCTAGGTCACTACCCCTCAGGAATCGCCATTCCCCGTGCTCAGGAGAGGGGCGTGCGCCACGGAGATCGCATCTTCGCCCAACCCGCCCGCCCGGTTGTTTCCAGGACCAGCTGGGTCCCAGAGGCCAGGGCTCAGGAAGGTGCGCCCTTGACCCGGGGATACGGCTGTCCCTCCCAGGAGAGCGAGCAACTTACTTAATTTGTTGGCTTCGTGGGAGCCGTTGACTTTGCCATCCGGGTAGATCTGCAGATGGAACCCGATGCCCACTCTGCAGTACAGGCTGCCGGTGCGGCGCCCCGAGGGGCTCCACTGGAAACTGCTCTGCTCCAAGCCGCTTCCCGGGCTGCCCAGAGAAGCCGCGGGGGAGGAGGAGGCAGAGGAGGAGGAAGACGTCGTGCCGCCGCTGCTCCGCCGGCTGCTGGAACCTCCGGGGTTCGTATCGGGGGCAGCTGGTCCGGGTTGCCCTCTGGGGGCGAGGCGCTTCTCCCCGTGAGCCCAGGCGCTGAGGATCAGGTGGCTGAACGAGAGGAGGAGAAGGAAGGACAAGCTCATTCTTCCAGCCGCGGGGGTCCTAAGCGCATCTTGTAGGGCTGGTTCCGGGCTCCGTAGCCCCCGCGCGGCTGCGTGTCTCTGGCGCTGCCCCCCTCGCCCCGCCGGGTGGACATAGCCTCGAGGCGGAGAGAGGGAAGAGGGGGGAGGGCAAGAGGCCACCCGAGCGGATCTCTGAGCTGGCACCGGGATATTTATAACGCCGGAGATCTGGCCGCTCCGTGCGCGAAGCTTCCCCTCACCCGCCGCTTTGTGTACTCTCCGGCCGGTGCGGGGAGGGAGCACGGCGGTCCCGGGGGCGGGGGTGTGGAGGAGGGAGGAGATGGGAGAGGGCGAGTGGGAGGAGAGGCCGGGCGGGGAGACTGCACCGACGCCGCGCGCCCACTCCAGGGCGCGCACCCCGGCGGGTCCCACGCGCCTCCCGGCCGCCCCCTCCCCCGACCCGAGCCAGCGCCGCGCAGAATTCCGTCCTCCAGGGGCAGCGGCGGGAACCGAGGGGCTGAAACGGGTTCTAGTCCCCTCCCGCCCCTTCGGCACACTCGCGTCCGGGTAACGCACTCTTTCCTACCTAGCGCCAGATTTCCAGGGTCCCTTTGCTGTGCCCTGCAGACCCGCAATCACATCTCCTCCCCCCGGGACCTTTCGGGAACCGCGTCCGGCCAGGAGATCCCCCTGCTTCAAGTGCTTTCCGCCGCGGAAAACCAAACCCGGATTCGCAGCCCAACTTGGGAAGCTTTGGTGTGCGGCGGTGGGGGAGAAGACTGGCTCGGCTGCCGAGACTGACTTGTTACAGAGCTGAGGGATGTTGGGTTTAGAGTTTAGAAAGCCTCCCGGGGTCTCCGAGCCACGACCCCGACAGCTCTCCTGTTGGGAACTCTCCGTATGCCGAATCTGCTTTTCCTTCTGGGGAGCCCTGGGTCTGTGTTCGTGTGGGTGAGCGCACACGCACACCCGCGTCGGGACCCGGGCAAAAGGGAACCGGGCTGGGCACCGGCGCTTGTGACTACTGGCCAGTTGTCCTCTCCCGCCCCAGGATCCCCTTGGCAGGAAGGATTAGCTAAGGGCTCAGCTCGCATCAGCTTACTCAGAGCTGCCACTGACTGTAGGACCGACCCCATGAATGATTAATGACGCCCGCGCTGCCTCTCAACCTCAGGAAACCTGAGAGCCGAGAATTTGCTTGGATGCGATGCCCCCGACTGTTATTTATCTGAGAAATACACCTGACTTGCATTCTTGGAATATTTCTGTCTGAAAACATATTTGAAGCTTTAAACTTAGCTCTGATACATTATTCATTGGTTATTTTAATGAAAAGGCCGTGATATTGACTGATAAGGTCAATTCACATAAGCCAAGGTTGATTCTAAGATACGTATGGCCTTATCCATTATTAAGTACCCACTTAAGACTTCCTTTCTAGTAATGAAAAGCATATAAAACAAATGTAGATTTTCAGGATTGGAAATTTTCTACGGCCAGACTATTTAACATCAGGGTGGCTGTAAAACAGAAAGTCGCCTGGACACCGTGGTCAAGGCGCTGTGGGGAAAAAGCAACTCATACGTGGATGTACCGAACAGCTCCTGCGCCCCTCGCACACAGCGTGAGGTTCCCTCCCCACTGTTCCTCGACGCTGTATTCTTGTGGCTTAACAAGGGTGGGCAAGCAGGTGACAAGGCAACCCAGGAAGTGGACATTGTCACAGGGTCCCTCAAAATGGTTCATTTGACTGAAGTCACTTTTTCCCCAGGTGAATGTGGGATGCTGCACCTGGGGACAGTGCCTTCTGCAGACGATGCCCGGGTGTAGGACAGGGCTGTTGGGGAGTAAGCCACCTTGGTGTTGCTGGACACCATCTTATGTGGCACAGTCTAGAGCCCATGTCTAAGTGACACAACTCCAGGGCTTGTTTCCCCCTCCCCTGGTGAGGGGTGCACTGGAAAGAGCAGGAGAGTGGCTCCTGCCCCCCATGCCCTATCTGCCCCTTCTCTAAATCTGGGAGGGCAAAGGACTCTGAACCCGGTTTTTGGGGACTGAGACTGAGCCTCTTTTCTTCCCTCCTTTCTCTCAGTCCCACCGGCACTGAAACAATTGTCCTTGTATCTCACTGGTCCCCAACAAGGGCCCAGTGGGGGGATCAAATATTTGTCCAGAGATGACCCAGGAAGGCCCAGACACCTGCTCAGGCTTTAGACTACCTCAACCAGGAGTAAGGCAAGATGCACTCTTCTGGATCCCAAGGGTTTAGGAAGAGCCAGGAGCTTAGTAAAGTGACCACTGTTCTAGGCAGTGATTGAGTTTGGCAAAGCAGTCCTGGGGGCTCAACTAACTCACTTCCATCTGACTGAGGCTGGGGGTAGGCGTGGGGAGACAGGAGTGAGGGCGGCGATAGTGTACACATACATGTGAGCTTATTAAACTTTTAAAATTTATAACAAGAGGACTGACCTTGTTTGGGGATCCTAAAAAGACCTACAGAATTCTAACAGTGAAACTGAGCTGATAATGCCTTGCCTGTCCTGTGAGCTGAGCTGCCAAGCCCCTTTCTTCTGCAGCCCCTCTAAGGAGGAACCAGTCACCTGCACTGAGGCTGCACCTGCCCGACCTGCATCTTGCCTACTCACCCAGCAGCCACGTCTCCGTGGAGCCCGTGTTTGTAGCAAATCTACACTTGGAAAAAAAAATATCTCATTTTCCTATGTTGGGTCTACTCCAGTTCATCCAAAAGACAGCGAGCCTGCATCACATTTTCTCTAGCAACTTTCTGAATCATCTTAAGGCTCCTTAAGATGGTTAGGGTGGTCTCAGCCATCTACTTACAAGTGGAGGAGCCTGGTCAAGGTCCCCAGGGCATATACAAATATGCACCCACAACCATTCCTCAACCCAGTTCCCTAACTCTTCTTCTCCCAGCTGAGGAGGCAAGAAGCAGAGAGGGTACATGTGCCTGGCCACCCGCAGAGATAAAGCAAACAGTCCTCAAAGACCAGTGTCCGTTCACCTCCACTTTACTGGGAGCAGCACAACTGTCCAACAGGTTAACAGGTTCCTCCAGTCATCCAGGGGCCCAGGATCATGAGTGCATCAGCTTGGACCCATACCCAGCTCCTCACTCCCTCGGCCTCACGGGTCAGTAGCCCCACCACCTCAGGTTCACCTTTCCTAGACCCCAGCACCTGAGTTTTCTTTCAGGGCCTGCCCCATTTCTGTGCAGAATACTGACCATGAATTTAAATCAGTTCAAAGGAGATACAGTGACTCGTAGTCTCAGGCTGGAATCTAAAATCCTAAGGAGAGAGCAGTCAGGGTATAGAAGTTAATTCCCAAGATTTCCTTCATCCAAGGGGCACGTTCACTATTTACAAATTCCTCTGCTTATAAAGTGAGGCTGGGCCTCACTGAGGTCAGTCTTCTGAAGGCAAGGTCAGAGCCTGTAAATCCTGCAATGCCTCTTTCTGGGATGGAAAAAAGGGTGGGATGTAGTTAGTGATAGAGGGTGTAATCCCAGCAGCCAAGACAGCTTCCCAGGGGGTCGCAAATGAGGCTGCCATCATGCCAGGCAGACTTTGTACAAGCTTCTGTTCTGAGAGCCTCAGTTGTACCAAATCTCCACTCCGCGAGGTGCAAGCATTACTTGCCTTTGTGAGGTCTGGTTATCTGGGACAATTGGAAGGCAAGGCCGCATGTTTGGGGCTATGTTTTTTTTTTTTTCATTTCAGAATATTAGGGGGGTATAAAAGTTTTGGTTACATAAATAGCTTTTGTACAGTTTAAGTCAAAATCATGTGTGTCCATCAGTAGATGGTGTGTATGGTACCCGTTCAGTGTGAATTTACCCACCCCCTCCTCTCCTCTCTCACCTGTGTGATTTCTGATGTTCTTTCCATCGGTGAACCTAAGTGTTGATTGACTGGTCCTATTTTCATAGTCGGTATATGTGGTATCTGGTTTTCCTTTCTTATGATACTTCACTTAGAAGAATGGTCTCTAGCTCCACCCGGTTAATACAGGACATATTAGTTCACCCCTTTTTCATGACTGAGTAGTACTCCATGATACACATGCCACATTTATTAATCCACTCGTGTGTTGATGGGCACTTGGGTTGTTTCTCATCTTTGAAGTTGGGAACTGTGCTGCTGTAAACATTGGGGGCAGGTGTCTGTTCCTTGATTCAAGCAGACAGAATCTCCGAGATTTCCAGAAAGTTTTCCTGAGAGAGCGGCTTTGAACCTGGCCCGGAAGGATTCTCTCACCTCCCTTCTCCATCTCCCACCTCCCACACTCTCAGAGGCTATACCCAGATAGCAGTACTGCTTTTTGCTCACCAGGGCCCTGAAGAACCCAAACTGGCCTCTAATCTCTTGCAGTTTTAAATGGAAACTGCTGTGGACTGAATGTCTTCACAAAAATGAGTCTTATGTTAAAACTCCACATCTCCAATGTGATGCTATCTGGAGATAGGGCTTTGAGAGATGATTAGGTCTTGAGGAGGGAGTCCTCATGATGGAATTAGTGCCCTATGAGAAGACACAGGACAGAGCTTGCTTCTTCCGACCATCCCTCCCCCAAGCGAGGAAACCCAGATGAAGGCCCTCTGGGCTGACACCTGATCTCAGATTTCCGAGACTCGAGCACTGTGAGAAATAAGTGTTTCTTGTTTCATCTACCCAGTCTGTGGTATTGTCACAGCAGCCTCAGCAAACTAAGAAAGAATATAGTTGCCTTGTGGGAGGATGCAGGAGCTGTTGCCAGAAGGGTCCTCAGTCCTGGCCAGGACCCTCTATTTCCTCTGGGCCTGGCTTCTTCCCAGCCATGTTGGCAGCAAATGCAACAACAAATAGTCAGTGGCTGAAGGACCACTGAGAGTGGCTTAGGAAGGTGGGAAGGGCTGGCTGTGTAAGAGAAACAAAGATGGAGAATATGCAGGGTGTTGGCAGTGTGAGGAGAAATTTTGCAGACCCCAGGGTTACCTCTCTTCCTCTCTTTCCAGGCTCTATGGCTTTCTTCAAAGACACGGTCACCTGTAGCTAAGTGGAATCCGAGAGTAAAGCAGCATTTGCTAACATAAAAAAATCTTCTGTGACCTAAATTGACTCAATGAAATCTATTAGCTTTTCTCATAATGCCCAACTCCCATGCTCTCCAATTAACCTGCTG